AAGCGCAAGCTGCTGAACCGTGTTAAATTTCTTCTTCATCTCCATCAACAGAGCTCAACAATTTACCCCAAAGCTGCTTAATTTTGAAATCCAAACCAAATTTTGAAGAAACAAAAGGGACAACAGCACAGGGCAAAGCAAACGAAGTCTCCAATTGTTAAATTAAAACAAAGACTGCAACAAAAGCAAAGGAAAGGCAAGGCACCAGAGATAGCAATAGCGAATCCACATCCGCCGCCGCAAACATCATTCCAAGAGTAACCACACGGCGGTAACCTAACGGCGACCGGCGTCAAGAGCGGCGTCCTCTGCGGCAGAGCTCCGGGAAGGTAACCCCACATGTAAAGCACCCTCTGCAATGCTCCACTTCCCTCGCCATTGTTGATGGCCATTCCCACCAACTTCAATTTCCCACTGCAAAGGTCAACAACACAACACAAAGTCACAAACACACTTTTTATTTCTCTTTTATTTTCTGGCGGTTTCTTCTCGCTGAAGAGAGAGAAAGAAAGAGCGCTCGCGTTTGTTTGTCTCTGTGTTAGGAGTAGCCAGGTTTTTTACGAAAGTGCCCTGTGAATATAACGAACGAATCATTTTCAGCGGAACCGGAGTGCCACGTCGGATGCCCACGTGGTTGCGCTTCCATGTGGCCGATCGCTGGCCGCTAGATGCCTCCGCCATTTCCAGCCACGAGTTTCGCCGAAGTTTCTGGAAGCTCATGTGCGCTGCGTGATACCGTGTTCACTCCACTTTGCGACACGTGTTTGATCTAAGCAAAGCTCCAATCATTATGTCGCCACGTGGCTTTCTGTAGACCCGTACTATTGAGTTTTGTTTACACAATTCTCATTTTTTAAGAAAAATTAAGTTCAAAAATAATTATGATGTTTAATTTTAATGTAATATTAATTATTTTTTATTTTTATTTCTTATAATTATTCTTATTTTATTTTTTTAGAAAAATATTAATTATAAATTATTTTTATAAAATTATTTTTTATTTATTGATTATTGATTTTATTTTAATTTATATAAAATAGTTTAAAACGACATTTATTACGAGATACTAAAAAAAACTTATTTGTAGAAGACTGTACAGTACCTGAAATTACCAATATGTAACTCGTCAAAATTAGGATTGGACTCGCATTTTTTTAGTTAGTTTAAAAAAAAGTGATGAAAATAGAAGAGTATGTGAAAAATGTTTGGTTATTCAACCAATTGATAGTTATTTTATAGTAGCAATATAATTATAATAATAATTACTTAAACTTATATTTAAGAAAATAAGATAATGATTTTGGACTGCATTTTATAAATGATGTTTGTAAGAACTGTCGTGCATAAATACATTAAATTAATTAAAATATAATTTATATTATTGGCAAGTATTAATTGAAATATAATTTATATTCCGGTTATGAATGACGTTTGTAAGAATTGCCATGCATAAATTGAAACACATTGCGATTTATTTTAATTTTTGTCATTGTCTTCTGTATGTGAAAAAATTAATTTATCTTAGAGTATTATAAAGATAAATTATTATGAGTGCGTGAATTAATTAATGAGTTTTTTCATCTTAATAACTAGTCTCAGTTTTAAAATTTAAATATAACATTAAATTAAGTATTTGAAAAGAGAGTTTTATCACTTACAATTATTTTACCTCATTTGAGTTAATGTCTTGTAAAAAAAATACACATACTCTTTACCAAAACATACATAATATATAATAGGGATGATAAAACAAATTACGTGATTCAATACGCGCGGTTAACCTAATGCGATTGTCAAACTTGAAAAGTCCAAATAGAAATTTGTGCTTCAAAAATGAAATCAAACAGCATAAAAGCCTATTTTTTTCAAGCATTTAGCTGGTTTTTACGAGTCTAATTTGGACCATGATTTGTTAAAGTTAAAATAACGTATTTTAATCAGGTCCAAAATTCTCAAACCCTGTATTTTATGCGACAAGTTCAAGTAAGTTTCACACTTTGATTATCCCAACCCATTTTTTCAACTCTATATGATAATGATAAATTTATTTGGATCAAATTTTTTATTATGCATCATGAAAAAATGGGACCTAAATGTTAGATAATTTTTAATGATCATATGCAATTTTATAATGTTTATTATTGAAAATAATTACACTCCATAAATTTTAAGAATCTTAGATAATATATTTTTCACTATTCTTATACTCAATCATTTTATGAGAAATTTAGAATATATACATGAATTTATAATACAATTCAATTTTCGTAGAGCTATCAAAATAGGTTAGTCTGACTCGTTTGGTCCGGTCCACCTCAACCTACTTTTTAAGTGAGCTGACCCAACCCTGCCCACCAAATTTATTATTCAAAGTTTCCTAGCCTAGCCCGGCTCACTACAGGTTGGTGGGCTAAACGGGTCAGCCCACCAACCCACCTATTTTTTTTAAAATAAATTATAATTTAAAATAAATTTTAATATAAAATAATCTCTGATCTAAAATAAAAATTATCAAACTAAGTATCATGCATATATTATTAAACTTAAATTAAAAAGTGTACAATTTTAAAAAATGAAAAAATAAAAATAAAAACTCTTTCATGAGAGTAATTATTCATTAATATTAAATTTCATTAGAGGTTTGAGTAGATAAATTTATAGCAAATTTATGTTGTTTAACATTAATTTTATCTTTTTTAATAAAAAAATAATATATTGTTAAAATAATACATATATAATAATAAATACTTAAGTGGGTTGTTAATAGATTAGGTTGATGGGATGGTAAATGGGTTAGGTGGGTAACCCATGTGCTCGCCTAAATAATTGTTTCATTTAATAAAAAAATTTGATAGATAAACCATATCTAACAAATATAAAATTTAAATATATTATAGACAACTTTTATCTAAGGAAAATTTTTCTTGAAATATCAATCAAATGTTCGAAAACAAAAATCACATATTTACGTGTTCCACGAGTAATTCTTTTTTTCTCTATATATATCTTTTTATTTCTCTTTCTCCTTTCCTCTCTCTCCCTCTCATATCTAATATCTCTCTCTTTCTTATATCTCATATTTTTTTACCTTGTCAATTTTAATAATATTACCAAAGTTTGTTTTGTTTGTATGGTTTAATGATATTTTTTATTTTTTATTTTTCTATTTGAATGAAATAAAATAATATTTTTTTATTCTTTTTATTTATTATGTAACATTTTTTATTTATTTATTTTGATAAAATCTGTATTTAAATTATTTTAACTATAAGTTTTTAACTTTTTAAATAGCTTAATGTTATATTTGTAATAAAATTTGAGTAAATAAATATATCTAATGATATCATTTTAATAAAGGATATTTTTGCAAAAAAAATATTATATACCCAAACATGAAAATATTTAATTCATAGGAATTATGATTTTTGTGTATGAAAAAACTTATCTTATACCAAACTCTCCCTTAGAGTTCTCAATTTGAGTCTTGCATGATGGGTCAATCTTGGCCAATTTGAAACTTAAAAATGATTACATAAATAGAACATTTTGGTCTGATCTACTAAACCCGATAAGACAAATAAATCTGGGTTAGACTGGTTCGTTAAATTAATATCAATTTGTAATGTGATATAAAATAATAGAATAAAATATAATAATAGTACAATAATATTAGTCTTTCACTTTTTTTGGTATTTGTTTACAAAGTTATGGTTACAAGTTCAAAGTCAAGGTTAGTCGTTATGAAAGTTTTGTCGCTCCCGTAACCTCATTGTCCTCTTGATGACATGACCCTGTGACTCATCATCTTTGTTTTATTTGTCATAAAAGATGAAAACACAATCAAACCCACACATGTGCTCACGGAGTTATAATAATGACTCATCGTCACCACAAAATTACAAGGTATAACTTCACTTGTAAGAAACCTTTTTTCTCTTTGTGCTTTTTTTTCACCTCAAATGTTCATATATATTTAACTAGCTAATAAGTATTGTTTTATTATAACATTTTTCCTATCTCATTTCAGTTATCCTTTGTTACTTTATTGTCTATTGTATTTGTTGGTGCTCTCCTATTCCAACTCTAACCAATACCACGTTAATTTTTAAATATATATTTTTTTATTTTGGCTCGATGGCCTAACATGGATTAAGTTGACCCAACAAATGGTAGTCCAAAAAAAATATAAGTCAAGTTAGTAAAACCTAAAATAATATTTAGTTCGTATAGGTTAAGTCAAGTCAAGTTAGATAAACCTGTTTAACACCTCTATCACACTATTTATAAAACTTTTTTTTCTTCAAAAAGTTGCGTAAAGATCCAATAATGAATCTAACGCATTTCAAACAAAAGGAACATGCTCTCTAAATGAATCTTTCACCATTGCTTATAAAATGAAAACTCCAAGCTAACCATTGATTAGAAGCCTCCTCGTCTAATAAATAATCTTCAGAAAAACTTCATTAGACTATTTATTCAAACTTGTACACATCTGTTTTATTTAAAATTAAATTGTAAAAAATATTTTATTAATTACAATAATTATAGAAGATAAATAGTGTCACATACATTACACTGAAAATTCTAAGTGAGTTGTATGTTATTTCTTGTATTTTGTTTTATCTCACTAGTACATAATATACATTTTACGTCGGTCATTTTGGGCTTTTTACGTCAGAAAAACCTCTGACGTGGAAGTGGGAGACGTAAATTTACGTCAGACACGAAAAATGACGTAAATTTACATCGGACACGAAAAATGACGTAAATTTACGTCGGATACCCAAGGCTCGACGTAAAAAGTTGTAAGAAAATTCAAAAAAAAAAAAAACAACTGCAAGCAGAACGATCCGTTCTGCTGGGAGAACGGCCCGTTCCCCAAGCAGAACGGGCCGTTCTCTAAGTAGAACAGACCGTTCTGCTGGGTTCTCCAAACCCAGACTTGGCCACTTCCTTCACCAGCTTCAAAAACCCATGACCAACGCAACCAACCCATCATCACGCGAATCAACCTCTTCCCTAACCTTCCTAAGCTCCGGAGGAGGTAGAACTTGTCGAGGCGGAGGGCGTTGATTTTAAAAACATGTACTACTCCACCTACAGATTGTAACATATTTTATGATATGCCAAGAGAGTGAAAGAAACAGTAGAGAAAGAAGAAATGGATGATTGAACCAAAAGGTAAGTGAAACACTAGTGGAAAAATAGAAATGAACTACTCGTGGCGCATGGTGTGGAGGAAGGTGGATGAGGTCGTCGGAGAGGGCAGTCACGATCTGAGGAGGAGGCGGAGGGATTTGAGGAGGAGGAGGTGGAGGGATTTGAGGAGGAGGAGGTGTGGCCTCCATTGCACAACGCGGGAGAAGAAATTTTTTGAAATATCTACCTCCGTAAAGCTTCTTTTAACAGGGTGCAGGGGAGTTATTTACAAAAATGTCCGCCGTAAATTTTAACATCTACGTCGGACACAATGCATAGCCGACGTAGATGTTAAAATTTACGTCAGACCCAAGGAGGTCCGACGTAAATAATTTACCTAAAATTACCGAACGTGCCACCATGT